GTGGCTCAACACTCAACTTCGTCAAACAGCCATTTGTATATATCTTTTTATTAATAACTAAAAAGGTAAAGCCAGCTTATTTTCTAAAATTAGAATTAGAAACAAGTAACTTTACCAACCTCTTGGTCAGGACCAGGAAACCCAGTTAGGGCAAAATTTTGACGCCAGCCTCTCTCATACAGAAATGAAACAAGTGGACTCCTGTATATAGTATTGTAATAAAATCTCATACATATATTATGTATATACTTATAGCTTTAACTCAGAGGCAGTATAAAAGAAGTCACACCTATGCCTGTTATTCATTTAACCACACAAAATCCCAAAAAAAAAACACCCTACTTTGTCATATTTCTGAATTTTGTTAATGCTAAAAAGGGTCATATTTCATAAAATGGAACTCAATTTTCTTTTAACTTTCCACACAACAAATAAGTCACTAACAAGTTCAACAGAATAAGTTTAGCTTAAGCATAAGGCCAATTTCAAAAAATACTAATGGTGTTCCATGGTTTGTAACAGGTGTATCTCACCAAAATACTAAAAGTTATACCTTCACCAAATTAAGGAACTTTTTTTGTGATAGAGGGAGTAAATAGAAAAAAAAAATTACCTGAAAAGCTCAGTTCTAATGGGTTTAGGTTCATTGTAAACCTTTGCTCCAGCACTAACAGTAAGATCAAGATACACATTTTTGCTGGAATATGCCTTGTTACACTTCCTGCATTTGAATGCAGACCTATAGATTGCAGGTCTGAAGGAATTGAAGGATTAACAATAACCCATTCATATATGTAAGTAACTGTCTTAGTAATGCATTCCATAGCCGAGCTTACATATTAAAACCCGAAGGGCCTATTCTTATTAGCTGTTCATAACAAACCGGGCAACCAAACAACTCCACATTTGCCTCACTTGTTTGAGAATGGGTGCTACTGATCTCCTGAACGGGTAATCAAGAAACAGTTCTGGGAGATCAATGATCATAACCATCATTTTCACTATAAGGTATAACTAGAAAGGTTAGAAACTTGAACAAATTACAATCCCCCGAATATGAATTCTCCATAGTATACTCTAGAAGATCACGTGACTAGTTTATCAAAAACATTAACAACATACTGGTGGGGAAATTGCTACTACTTTCCCCGGTTAAGAATATATCGAAATGTTTGAATCATAGATTCATTTATATATGATAGATTGCAGAATTGTTTTAGGGTCACTCAAATAGGTCATTATGCATTTGGACAAAACCACATTATTGCACTAAAAGATTGAATTCAATATGTTAACTGGTTCATTCCAAAGTCTTATTAAATGTCATTTTAATTTTTCAATGTGTGATTCTAACATTTGCGAATAAGGCTAGGATGTTGTTGTTGTTGACTTGATGTGATTCTAACATGTTGTGACATATTAGTTAATACATTGGATCCAACCTCTTAACATGAGGAACCTCAACCCATATATGAATTCCGTCATAGTATATGACTATTTGCATTATGGTCATCAAATGATATCAACCAATTATGAATATCTTCTTCGATTCCTAATTCGAAAAAGTGAAATTCTACAATTTGGTAAAAAAAAAGGTTTGTTATCTCCTGGAGGGATGAGAATTCCGACCCGACCTGGTATTTCAATTCTTCCCATTGAAAAGAATGAAGAGACCTAATTATTTGCCAAATATACTGACTATAATCCTCACTTTGAGCTCTGGTTGAGTTCCTTACTTCCAACCAATCGGTAAAAAGTTAAAAAAGATACAAAAGGTCTGATCTTTCCCAGTTTTTACCGCATAAAAAAAGAAAATTACCGGGACGACAGCATGGGCAGAGCTCGATCTGATTATATTAGGAAGCAGTAAAGAGTGAGGAAGATATTGGGATTTCCAAGTAACGGATAGCGGTTTGGTTTTTACAAGACTGTGTTGGTTTATGCCAATGGAAGGAGAAGCAGGAGTGGCCATGTCTGTTTTCTTTGTTGATCTTAGCCTATCTGCGCCACAATGCAAGTAACCAATTATATGACCAGCAGATAACTATATGGACGTAGCAATCCGGCCTGCACACAAAAATTTCATGCCTTAACTATTTATAGGCGTTATTAAAAAAAAAACTATTTATAGGCAAATTATTTGCCTTAACTTTTCACACCGAATTTATTTTCTGTGTATTTTTTTTTGCATTTACACACTTCTTTTGTAAAATATTTTTCATATTCATACACGTTTTCTATAATAAATGTTGTATCTCGCTTATATGTTTTAGTGTTCTAAAGACATTAAGTTTGTTTTATTTCGATTTAAATTTGATAAAACATGAGATTTCATTTTTCATATGTGAGAGTTACATCATCTTATGTAGGAGTGATATCTTCTTGTGCGTGAGTTAAGTCTTTTTATCTGCGAGTTACATATTTCTATGCGTCAGTTACGTTTGGGTTTGCCTCGACAAGTTACACTTTGAGTACACCTAAGTTAGATTTTCCATTAACGTGAGTTACATTTTTCATAATATATAAATTGCATCACAACATAAAGCCCTACTATTGTAACAAAAGAATCATTGTTTTTGCAAAAAACTGGCAAAAATATGATCTTTTTGGCAAAAAAAATTTGATTTTTTTTTAAAATTATGGCATTAATAATAAAAACAAAGCACAATCACTGTTTAAGTAAAATCCTGCTATTGAAATAAAAAATATTTATTTTTTTGCAAAAACAAAATGACTTTTTTGGCAAAAAATGATTTTTGGCAAAAAAAATTAAAAAAATATTTTTATGACTTTCATATTAAAAATATATTTACTTGTTTACGCAAAGTAATTGAGCAATTAGACTCATTATTTTCATTAAAATCAATGTGTTATTTCTTATAATCCGTATTAGACAAGTTACATTTCGCTTGCTTGTAGTTACATGTTTATCAGCGTGAGTTACACTTTTTACACGCGAGTTACATCATTCTGCAACTGAGATAATGAAAAAACAAAAAAGAAGTTATTGTTCACGCGTGTGAACAGTAACAATCGGTTTTTGCCTGTGGGAGCAGCACCGTGGGTTGCTCCCACTGTATACCAACTGCTTTTTATACATTCATGTATAATACACATGCGTGACTTTCGTCTAATCAAGTTTATTAGCCAATTTTTTAACCAAATAAGTAACTTTTGATTTTGCGCGTTATTGAATGAATTTACTGCACATGACCATTTTTCTAGCTTTATTGGCTAAAATATGAATTGCTACTGTAACCATTGAAAAATACTGATATTCATGGTTGTAAACACCGTCCCTATCAAAAAAAGAAAATTGTGACAAACTTTAAAATTTGAGAATAACTTCGTATGTCTTTATGCTATGAAGCACGGATACTTCCCTAGGGTAGCGTATCGGCGTATCCGATACGTTCCCGTATCCGATACTCTAGGATACCCGTACCGTACGTTCTAGGGCCGTATATGCAATCTGCAATTTTTAAAAGTTTCCATTTTTTTTGTAATTTTTTGAAAGTTTCTGATACTCGTATCCTGACGGATACGCTTATTAACTTTTAAAAACAAATCCCAAAATTTACTTAATTAAATTCTAAAAAAAATGAAAATCTAAAACTACATTTTACTTGGTAATCAAATAATGGGCCTATATGGCTATACCAGAATTAAGTCATTAACTCATACTCCGAATTGGGTACTTGCACTTTTAGTTTCAAGATTGTAGTTGTTAGACTTATTTCTCATTTTAAATTAATGACTTATTGAGTACATTTATATTTCGAGATACTCTAGTGTATATGAGAAATATTCTGAATTTATTACTAAGTATCTTGAAAAAGGAAAATGCTTGAATGCAATGAATGGGTAGACATCATAGAATATTATAGGTATGTATGTATGTATGTATATATATATATATATATATATATATATATATATATATATATATATATATATATATATATATATATATATATATATATATATAGGGAACTCTTCCGGTAAGGTATACCTTACCGGAGCCGCCGTGCGGCCTCCACGTTTTGAGGGCCTTCTCGGTGGAATTTTTCGAGCATGTTCGTTATCAAGTCTATTACATCCATACCAAATTTCAGCAAAAAATTCAATCGGGAAGGCAGCCCAACGATTTTTGGAAGATAACTGCGTTTTATATGTATATAAGGGGTGCAAAATTCACTTTAACATACATGATAAGAATTCCGGTATATAAGGTATACCTTACTCTTCCGGTAAGATATACCTTACCGGAAGAGTTCCCTATATATATATATATATACAGAATAGAGATCAAATACAAACCATGCTTAATTTACAAAGTACAAAATTATCATGGTTATCCGATGAGTTGATCTAAAGGATATAAAGGAAATGTGGCATTTTTGTAATAGAATAGAAAACCTAACTTTTCTAGGGTGCAACTCGTTGAACGTTAATGTGCAACTTCTATTTTATGACTATATAATATGCAACACTTTGAACCTCAATATGCAATACAAATAACGTTAAGGTGCATCGTACAAATATTTGCACAATAAGCACAATTTGTATTTGATCTTTCCCCTATATATATATATATATATATATATATATATATATATATATATATATATATATATATGAATATATATATATTCAAAAAATCTATTTTTAATATTAATAAATAGAACTCTATAACTTTTAATATTTGTAAATACACCCCCCATAACTTTTAATATTTATAATTATGGCCCCGTATCCGTATCCTACTTTTTTTGGTTTTGACGTATTCTTGTACTCGTTTCCGCGTTTCCGCGTATCGGTATCGGCGCTACATGGTCTTTATGTTCACACCCCTCATAAACCAAGAACGTAAGCTCTGTTTTTCCTTAAAAAAATCGTGGCCGGGAAAATTTGGTCTAGACTCTAGAGAATTCAAAATTGTCGCAAGTAGAATATACCCACCCCACCCCCACCTTCAGAGAAGCTTCGTCCGAATGACTGTCCAACTACTCCGTACATATATCATCACGCCTCCCTTACCGATCGAACAACCTTGTATTCACACTCCAAAAAACATCACCAATACGCAACCTTTGCTTGTCCTCAATCTCCAAAAAACAGTACAGATTTTTTTTCCCCTGTCTTCAAACTTGATTCCCCAAACAGGCCTTTGTTTCTTATTTGAAGTTTTCTGATTGACTTTTCCTGGAGAAGAGGACATGTCTGGCATGCTTCCTGGAGTTGAATGTGCAAGGAGGAGGAGGCTTCATCCAACCAATAGGGGATTGATGACTGACTCAAGAAAGTCATTCTTTTGCTTGTACACTAGCAACAGCTCTTCATCCATTCCTTCCATGGTACCTAATCATATCCTCCCTTCCATCCATAAACAAGTTCTCCTTTCTGCTTATGGTATTTGACAGACTCTAAAGTTTTCGAATTAACCAATATTCATGTTTGTAACTTATTATTGATTAATAGAATTTATATATTTAGAAACAAGAAACAATGTTAAAAGTTATTTTGATTTGAAAAATCAGACTGAAATCTGATAAAAGTTTCCCATGTGTAAAATGAGTTTTTCTCTGTCCCTAACCTAATTTGACTTCACACATATTAAAGAAGTGAATTTGACTTCACAGACGCTGTTTGACACTGTTTTGCACGGTTTGACACGGTTTGATATAGATCTCTTTACCAAATAAGGAAGTAAAGGAAGTAGGACTTTAATTTAGGACTTCCATTTTGTGAAAGTAGGACATTCTTTTGGAGAAGGAGGAAGTATGAATATAAATGTTACTCCCTCCGTCTCATTTTACCTATCCTACTTTCCTTTTTGAATTGTCTCAAAATAAGTGTTTTTTTTCTTTTTTGGAAAGAAATATGTTACTCAAACCTCAACCATAACTTTTACTTTTTCAACAACTTCATTAATAACCGTTCCAATTCAAACTATGACACATAAAATGGGACAAAGGTAGTACTAAAGTTATTATGAGTATATTTCTGATGATCACTATAATATAAAATTGAAGTTAATTATAGTCCTTAAAGTTATGATTGTAATTAAAGAATATATATTATATTTTTGTGGAATACCTCTATTTTAACTATTTATTGGTCGTTATTTCACACAAAGTAAAAAAGTGGAGTTGGATGTTTTCAATTGTATTGATTGTATCTGACTTAAACAAATTAGATCTAACTTCCATAATTATAAAATACACATATATATACATTCATTAAGGCTATAAAATTATAGTTCAAATCAAAAACATAGTAAGAACTTGGAACGTCAAGACATGCTCTTCCGGTTTGAACAAACTCTCTTATCCCTTTTTTTATCATATCCTATGGTGCCCGGCGGGCAGCGGGCAATCAAAACGCGTAGGTGTTGCCCGTGGATCCGATGTGACCTTCCCAGTTCCCACATGCCATCTCGTGCTGCCCGTTCCATTAAGAAACAATCCTTTTTTTTCTAAATAAATGGCGGGAAGGCTTTGCTCAAGACTTAAGGTGTTGTGTCAAAAAGCTTTAAACGCGGCGCGGATCCAAAGTGGGAGACCAGCCAAAAAATATTGAATCATGCTACTTAGTACGTACAAATTGAGTACACTTTTGTTGTATACATTGCGTAGTTGTCGGTGTAAACATGAGGTTCGAAACGAGTTGTTTGTGTACACAGACAATTCGAAGGGTGTACAACCAACTTGTACAAAAAAGTGTACAAATTGCATTTTCCAAAAAAAAGTGTTTTTTTTACAAATTGCATTTTCCAATAATATTCATATTTAGCAATTGATCAACACAGGAATAAAAATAGAAAGAATGACAAAAGTAGACCGGTTTTAAACTCGGCCATGCTGAGCGCACCCAATTACGGAGTATTTGCAATAGCTTAAAAAAGCGCTTCTCAATTTTGGCTTAAAAAAGTTAAAATTAGTATTTTCAAATGACAACTTTTACTTAAAAATGCGTTTCTCGGCTTTCGTGTGAGAAATGTCTTTTACTTTTCCTATTACACCAAAAGCACTTATTTTACCAAACACTATCAACTTTTACTATTTATCACTTTTCCAAAATCACTTCCAAAAGTGTTTTTCTTTCAGCAAAAGCAGTTGCGAACACTCTCTTACTACTTGGCACACCCCATTTTTATATTGCTCGACAATTTTATCCTTGTTTAATCTTTTGGTTACGCCACTTCTAAGTATGCACAATTTTCCTAGTTTTTTGTTCATGGGTCATTGGATTCTACACAATAAGTTTTTGATTTTTTCCCATTAAAAATTATATGAGTAATAATTTTTAATTTATCTATCTTTTTTAAATATTAAGAATAAATTGATATAATTAAACGGTGAATAAAGGGCGACGATATATTTTGTACCGAGCAGATGAACGGTTGAGATGATTTTGTATTGCTATTAAATATTAGGATTAGGATTTTGATTACTCCGTATTATTATTATGATTTATCTATGAAATACTACATATGTTACATTTTATGTGTCCTGTTTTAATTTGACATAATTATTAGTAAAATGATTGACAAAGTAAATATTGTGGTTGGAACTTGGGTATAATAAAGTGAAACGTCGTAGACTATATATTTCTTTCCAAAAAAGATAATGTGACACTTATTTTGAGACAACCCAAAAAAGAAAGTAAGATTAGATAAAATGGGACGAAGAGAGTATTTTATCAATTTTCCTTGACTTTTTAATTGATTTCATTTAAAGTATTTTCTTTTTCCCATAATTATCATTCAGCTTTCCTTTTTCGTTCATCAAAAAATTGTTTCTCTATTTTTTGGTAAAAATGTCTGATTCACATCCCTAATTCCTATATACGCATTTTTCTATCGTCTTAACAACATCAGACAATTCCAGCACCCAGGTTGTAATTATATTTTGGGAAAGTTTCCGAAATAGGACCGAAATAGTTTGAAAATTCCAAAATAGGACTGCCATGTTTTTTATTTCCAAAATATGAGTAATTACTGCCATGTTTAGAAAATACTGCCATGTTTGAAGTCTGGTAATGCCAAAACATGACAGTAATTAGTCCTATTTTTGGAGTAAAAATATGTCAGTCCTATTTTGAAATTTTCAAACTATTTTGGTTCTATTTTGGGTAATATTCTCTTATATTTTCACGTGAAAGTCGTTTTTGGCTATGTTTTACAGTACATAGTATTACTTACTCGGGTATGAGTTATGACCGGAATGGAGAATCATATACGGGGTATAAAAATGGAAGTTGGATAAATTCATAAACCATAAAAAAATTTTACTCCCTCCATCCCATATTTATCTTGACAAGTACAATTGACACATTTTTTAAAATAATAGGTATTGTATGGTAGAGAGTTGTGCAGATGCGAGAAAAATGTGTAAGAATGTGTAAAAATTACTCTGAACCACAATTCCTTTGCCAAAAAGGAAAAGAGGAAAAATAGGACAGATTGAAAATGAAAGTATGAAAATAATTTTGGGACCCAAGAGAAGAAAAAAAGGATGACACCCCATCCCTGAGGGCCCCCAACATCGACCGAACAATTAGATGAAAAGATGTAAATTGAACTTTAATCACAAGCTGACATACAGAGAATTGCATTTTTTAGCATAATAAACTCTTATCGCTATTCGAACTTGAAATTTAACCTTAGTGTCACGCTCCATCTACCGATTGAGCCACGCTCATCGGTTGGGACACAAGAGAAGAAGTGATTTTCTTTTGACGTATGTGACAAATGAAATTATTGGTGAATGATTAGCAAGGAAGTGGAACGAGAACGGGATACGAGGATGGGATGATGATGGGTGAGGTTGCCAGAGAAGCAAAGCAGAGATTGGATGAGAAGCTCAGAGGAAAATGGGAACCACATCACAGATTCACAGCAGGTAATTTCTGGCTTTTCTTATTAATATTACCAAATTAAAATAAAAAAACAAAAATAAGATTCATTTTAAATATTTTCAAAAAAAATGACGTATTTAGTGACCAGTTATTATTGACTCACCATCTATCAGTGACTAGTTATTCTAAAATACATTATAGTCACTTTTGTTGAAAAACATAATTAGATCATGTTTAAGTCGTGCAAAACTCTATTTTTTTTTATTTTTTTGCGCACCAAACTCTATTAGTATGGCGACAAACTTTGGAGAATAAGGGTTTCAGACTAAGTCGGAGCAAGACAGAGTACATGGAGTGCAAGTTTGGTGGAGGTAGAAGCAGTGGTAATAGTGGAATTACTCTAGATGGTAGGGAGATACCGGTCAGTGATATGTTCCGTTACTTGGGCTCCATAATTCAGAAGGACGGTGAGCTAGATGGAGATGTATCTCATAGAATCAGAACAGGGTGGATGAAGTGGAAGAATGCGTCAGGATTTCTATGTGATAGATGTATGCCGACCAGACTGAAGGGTAAATTTTATAGGACATCAATTAGGCTTGCATTGCTGTATGACATAGAGTGTTGGGCGGTGAAACAATGTCACATCCAAAAGACGAGTGTGGTAGAGATGCGCATGTTGCGTTGGATGTGTGAGCATACTATGAAGGACCACTTGAGAAATGAGACAATCAGACAAAGGGTGAGAGTAGCACCTATTAAAGACAAGATGTGGGAGTCTCGCCTATGGTGATTTGGTCATGTGCGTAGAAGACCGAATGATGCACCTGTCAGACGTGTTGAGATGTGTGGAGAAGAGACAGGAAAGAGAGGGAGAGGAAAACCCAAACAGACGTGGGTTAGGGCAGTCCGAAGTGATATGCTTCTTCTTGGGTTGGATGAGGGTATAACTTTGGAGAGAACACAGTGGAGAGCGGGCATTCGTGTGGAGGAGTGATCTCGTATTATTATTATTATTATTTCCCCTCATCTTTTCTTCTTCTTGTTTTTTATTCTTTTATCCTTATATATAAACATGATTTTTATCCTTTTTATTTTATCATTTTTAAGTATATTCATCCCGTTTTATAATATCGTTTTTATAAAAGCTTATTTTTTATCTTTATTTTTCTTTTGGTGGTGTTATCATTTAAGACATTTATCGATTCATATTAACCGACCCCCAATATCTTTTGGGACTAAGGTTTGGATGTTATTTTTGTTGTTGTAGTACCAAACTCTATTAGCAATATACATTTCATTTTTTCGATAAACACCGATCAGATAGTTCATCATAGGAATGGGATCTACCATTTTTGCTCTAATAGTCTAATGTCTTGAAAACTTGTGATATGATTTTTCAGGAACGGAAATAGGCAAGATGTCTCCAGGCTCAAGATTAGTGATATTCAAAGGGCGGAGTTTGGGCTGGAGAACTCCAGCCCAAAGAGGTGTAATTGGGCTAGAAATCTAGGGTTTAAGGCATGAGAGCATCCAAAGTTTGGGAAATTCCAAATTTTATTGAAATTATTCAGTTAAATTTAATCTCATAATTTGCTTAGACTTAAAATTTGTGGTCTTACTCAAAAAGTGTATTTTTGTAAGGATCTCATCGAATAATGTCAAATACTAATTTCATTGTATTATTACTTCGAGAAATTGTTGTAGTTGGGATGTTTTCTTTTGGACTGTTTTCAGTTTCAGGCCAGACCAGACTTAAAAAGACCAGATCAGATCAGACTTAAACAGATCAGATCAGACCAGACTTGGATAGTTATAAAATACACAGAGACCAGACGTTTACCGGACTAGACCAGACCAGTTCAGACCAGGCCAGATCAGACCAGATCAGACTAGACCAGATCAGCAAATTTCAGTCCAAAAGAAAACATCCTTAGGGGTATGTACTAAATTCCAATCAACTCGAGTTTATGTGTGAAAATATTACTCGTATGTGAAAAAGTTGTGTACATGCTCAATCCGATATTTGCTCTTAATTTCGCCACTAATAAATATAGTAATGAAGATTTTCTAACCGCAATAAAACTATAGAAAGTATTAGAATACTCATAATATAGGCTTAAATACGTTTTTAGTCCCTGCAAATATGACACACTTTGTTTTAGGTCTCTGCAAAATATTTTTCTTGTTTTTCATCCCTGCAATATGCACTATTTTGTTTTTAGTCCATCTCCAGTTCCGAAACTACTCTACTTACAACAAAATTATTGTCAATTATATAAATCTAGTAGAAATATTTGAATTTATCCTTTTATAATTTTTTGAGGCTAGTATGAGAGTTAAAATAATTTAAAACTAAGTATTCATATTTTAAAAATATAGATTAAAAACCTTCAAAAAAATACAATAAAATACTATTTAAATAATATGACAAAGAATTAAGGAAATCTATTAATCGGGGTTATTTTAAGGTCAAACGGAGATTGTTATCATCAATGATGGACTAAAAAGAAAACCAACATAATTGCAGGGACGAAAATAAAAAAAATTATTTTGCAGGGATGTAAAACAAAATGTGCAATATTTGCAGGGACTAAACACATATTTAAACCCATAATATATCACTGAAATTGAAATTGGCTGAATTAACAGATTTTGCCGAAATCGATGAAGTTCTAGCAAAAGTGACTATATTGGTTGAATATGGTGAATTATGAAAAAATATACTACTCTGTATGTATTAAAAATGCTCAGTATATTCTAGTAATAAAATAAAAATTATATGAAAATAGTCAAAACTGTCCTCTACATTAAATTCAGCAGATTCAATCAGAAAAGAAAATTCAACCTTACTTATTTTAATTTTACACAATTTACGAAGTCAAAAGTTACGTGTTTGGTCTAAAAATTGTTGCTGAATGATAAGCTGAAAACAGATGTCACCGAGCAGTGTGCATTGTCTACCGTGAATAAGGTATACAAGCTAGGGATATGCAAACAGGGCGGTGTGGCTCTTAAAAAATTTAGGAACCAAATTGGTGTTTAAATTTGAAAAACAGGTATGCGGAACGATCAACTTTAATTTTTTTTAATAAATTCTATTATATTTGATAAAATATACTAGTAACATGCGGAATCTTTTCATGTTATTGAATTTATTAAAAAGAATTTCAAAATCGATGTAAACTATTAAACTATTGTCCTCGTTTCTCTATTCCAAACGCATCAAATTTTCTTAATTTAGTTTTTTTGTAAATAATTCTTTTAACCAATGAAGTGTGACACATTCATTTAATTATCTTAATTTTACTTATATTTTGAGATTTATTAAGCTTTAAAATTGTTCTCTTATACATATATGTATAGTGACTAGTTTAGTTTCTCACGACTTTGTGGTGCCACCTGTTACTGTTAAGTCCTCGCGCTCCAAAAGCTCAACACAATCCTTTGAGATTTCGTCGGATCTTTTATATTTCGGTATATTACGTAACGATTAATTAGCAATAAATGGCAGAAAGCAAACAACAACTGAGGTGGTAAAGCGTATCAAGTTCTATTCAATGACGGAGAACGATTACAATATACCCTTATTGACCCCCAAGCACCTTGTCTCTAATTTTAAGCTGAGAGTTTACGGAAGAAAGTAGAGGAAAAAGCTAAGTTATTGAATGGCAAGCTTATCAACTTTTACAACAAAATAAGTGCGGATATTTATACTACAATATGGTAAATGAGGGGGCAATGTGTCAAGCTCTGAGTGGCTAGCCTCAACCATAAAATCCCCATAATTTGTGCATAAAATGCTTTTCCACGATCTTCCTAGTTTCTCACCAGTTTCTTGATAGTGCAGGTCAACTGCCTGAAGGTGGAAGTTCTGGAAGCTTACAAGTGTTGCATTCCGCTCGACATAGGCCGCCCGACCATGACGCTCACGACAGGTTTCTTGCTCGAGCCCAGATTTGACATCGGGCCTTGCTTTTGGGCCGTTAGGCTTTGTGGCCCGTCGGGGCTACTTGAGCATGTCTGTTACTGACCCCAATACCCCCAACACTACGCTTTTTAAATATTGATGATGATGTCTAATTTTTTACATTTCAATAAAAGTGTAGTGTTGGGGTTTAACGACTGCTGCCCCTTCCTCTTCACCGGTGCAATCCCCTTCCACGGCTAGATCATTCTCTATGGCTTCTGCACCTACTGTCTCTCTTGGCGTTACTTCTCCCCTGCTGACACAGCGAGCCCTCTCCAGCATCGGCGCCACCTACTCTGGCTTTACAGTGCCTTTCATATCGCCTTAGACTGGTATTCCGTTTTCACTGTTTGAGAATTTGCCGCCAAGATTCCACTGGATGCCGCCGACGTCTGTGTCTCCCATCACACTGGATCTGCCGCCTTTCTTTGGTTTTTCATCCACAGTGGCTTCCTCCACTCCATCCTTCGCAGTGCCTCTCTCTGGTGGGCAGTCCTTCTTTGGCCCCACTTTTATTGGTTATCCGGCAGCTTCCTCGTCGCATGCCCCAGCTAGGGGTAGTTCGGTACGGTATACCGAAGGTTTTATCACATACCTTTACCATACCGTAAACTTTCGGTATGCAAAAATACATACCGTTACCATACCTAAATTTCGGTATACCTTGTTTCGGTATACCAAAATTTCGGTACGGTAAGCTACGGTATCGGTAAATTATCATGATTTAATATCAAATTATTATATATCAAATGAAATATAGAAAATCAGTGTTAATAGTGATATACTAAAATTATTAATGAAATTAATTATAAAATGTCAATGATAACCTATTTGTGTTCTATTCAACTTTGAACAAAAAAATATTATAAATATGTACGGATACTTCAACAGATGATATATGAAGATAACAACACATTCTGCTAAAATAATAATTTAAACAACATAAATATATTTGAAATAACATCGATCTCCAACAAAAAGTATAAATAATTCAAGAAACATGGATATAAAGTCATTATCCTTGAATTAATGTTGTGTTTCTAGTTATTTTTATAATTTTAAAGAAATTATTGGCTTGGAATTACGGTATGACGGTATAACGGTATACCGTTTATTTCCAAAATATATACCGATACCATACCGAAGTAATTCGGTACGGTATCATACCGTACCAGAAGTGTCGGTATACCAAACACTTCGGTAAATTCAGTATTTTTTGATATGGTAAGTCCGGTATACCGAAATTTCGGTATTTTTCCCCACCCCTAGCCCCATCCATGGCAGACTTCGTGCAACCGATTTCCCATGTCGTCACCAATGTAACAAATATTGTCATTACAAAGCTTCAAGCGGTGGAGGATTAAATCACTCGGAGGACTCAGTTTGAGTCATTCTTGGTCTCTCAAGTCTCCTAGAATCCTAGGTATGATTGATGGGTCGATTCAGGCACCTTCTCCTTTTTCTATAGACCTACATAATCGTCAAACCCCTAATTCTGAATATTCATGTTGGTTACGTGTTGATCAAACCATATGTGCATGGTTGTTTGCCACTTTATCTAGAGGTATTTTAATTTAATGGATGTGCAAGATGTTAAACACTCTGTTGGGATTTTGGAACAGTTAGAATCTCGTTTCATGTCCGCTAGTTTAGCCAAGTCTATAGAACTCAAGAGTATTGAATCATATTAAGAAGAAACATGATCAGTCTATGGACCAATATTTGAGGGGAATTAAAACATTGGTGGAGTCTCTTACTGCTATTAACTGTCCGGTCTCTCATCATGATTTATTGCAATCTATAATTATGGGTTTGGGGCCAAATTATGAATCCCTTATCACTAGTGTATCTCTATTTCCCCAAAACTTCCCATTTGAGACATTCCGGACACATCTCCCCAATCAAGAGCAACGAGTCTCCCCAATCAAGCTTTCGGTGCCACCGCTCAGCCACAACAACGTCCTCCAGTCTACGGTGGCCGGGGAAGAGGAGGCCGGGTACGAGGTGGCTGAGGTCGTGTCGGGCGTGGGTGCGGCAGGTAGCAACAGTCGCACACCTACGACCAACAGCCACATACATTCGACCAACAGCTTCAAATACAGGCTCCTCCGGCTATATTTGGCTCACATGCAGGGGGTGGTCCAGCTCCTCATCCGTCACAAACAGGTGATGTATATAGGAATTCATCCATGTCACATTTAAATACTAATGCTTCTTATGTTTGTGTTACTAACGTTGGATATGCAGGTTTTGCATCAGATGGAGATATTCTTGGGTCTGTCCCACCACATATTGTTTGCCAAAATTTCTTTTTTGCAGCTCATTCCGCTATCTCCTGTCCTTCTAGCTTTAATCAGCCTACTGCGCCTACTCTGTTGACACCGTCCGAGGAAACTAATCCCGCTTTGTGGTACCCAAATTAGGGAGCTTCTGCTCACATGACATCTTATGAAGGTATTTTGCTAAATAGGTCTTCTTATGTTGGCTCTACTTCTGTACTGTTAGTGTCGCTAACGGTGCCCGACTTCATATTTCTCATATTGGTGATGTTCTTTGTGAGCAGCTTGTTCCATTATTTCACACATACCTCATCTGCATCCTATAAATGAATTGAATGAATAAAATGAAAGGTTGTAATTAAAAGTTCTCTTTATAAAGAGTTTTCATTTTATGATGGTTCTCAATAGAACTTTCTCTTGTCTTCCATGGTCTTAATGT